AATATTTTAAAAGTTCAAAACATTATCAAATACAGTTACAGATACAACTATATTTTAATTTGTACTTTAAATTAAATGTTGAAGTTTATTTTTAAATAGTTTGAATGCATTTTAAAGAACCTTTAAACTTGTCAAAAAGCTGTTGTTACTGTTAATGTTTGTCACTAATATGAAGAGCAGCTTCTGGTTGTAAAAGTTTAAAAATACAACATTTTCATTTGTACTTTATCAAATTTATTTGTATATATTTTTTATTTGAAACATTTACATGCATACAGTATACATTAAATATTTTTGAACGTATTTATTATATGATCACAATTTTATTTATTGAATTGTCTATTTTTGTTGTTGTATATATTAAAAAAACATTATTTTTGTCTGTGATGGACTTGCGACCTGTCCAGGCCAGGGTGTTCCCCGCCTCTCGCACTGTGACTGTTGGATATGGGCACCAGTGACCCACGCGACCCTGAAAGGAAGACGCGTGTACAGAAAATGGATGAATGGATGGATGGGTTATTTTGTGTTGATAAGCCTGAGTGGTCTGTTGATTGATGGTTGTATTTGTTCAAATAATTGTTATGGGCAGGTTACAATATAAAAAAAATGTTTGTCATAATCATGTCTTGTGATTATTTGACAGGAGTTTTATTTTTAAATTGTAATTGTAGTTTATTTAGTTATAATGCAGATACAATATAATTTAAACCAAGATTTAGAATAAATATAGTTTTAAACCAAGGTTTAGAACAATTATCATTTTGATACGTATGATAATGTGTGACTGGGCCTCGTGTCACTTTATGTTGAACAAATTGGGCCCTGAGGTCAAAAAGGTTAAGAACCCCTGCACTAGACCACCAGCGAGATAAAAGGGTAAGAGTGCCCAGAGAAGTAAGGGTCCTGCCACACTATGGCGTTTTAGACAACTTGTGTAACATCTGAAAATTTTGTCCAACACGCTGGCACATGCTGAAGAAGAGAAAAAAGCATAATTTAGCACCTTCCTTTGGACATGATCATACCGTGTTGCTGACAACTTGATATAAAACATATGTGTAAATTATCCCTACCTTAAAAATAGCGTGTACAAGCTTATTATAACTTGTGTGGACTTCTGCAGCACGTACATGCAACATTACTGGAACTTCTGCAGAATCACTGCGCAGCGTGACGGAGATGTGGAGATCAGTGCAGAATTTTGAACATGCTCAAATTTTTTTACTGTCAGCAGAACTATTCAGTTTTGCACACGCATCAGGCCTGTTCCATGTCTGTTTTATATATGTTCACACATGTTACATGAACGTTGCTCATACGTGGACATTTGTTAGAAACAAGCTGGGTATTTATGAAGCAGACACGAAACTTCTGTCACGATGTGTGGGCGTGTCCTTCGATATAAAGACTGACCGCTGTCAACATGTCGGGGAAGAAGTCAGAGAGCGGGACTCATAAAAAACAATGTATTTGTCAGACTGAGTTTTAAATTAAAAAAAGAACGAGCAGATAGCAAAACAAAGCTGGCAGATATTTTTAAACCAGCTGTCAGAAAAGATGATCCACAGAAATATTCTCACGCTCCTCCTGAGAGGACGAGGTGGGCGCAGACAAAGCTGGTGATCTTTAAAACAGAGACCGGAGCCGCTGCTGCAAAAACATCGATCAACAGCTGCGTGTGATCTAGCACAAATGAGGCGGTTATTGTACCACAATTTGATCAGCCGCAGTGAAGCGCCTGAAGCCCCCAGCTTTTTTTTTTAACCTGAGACAATCCTGATTTAATTCGTCCACCGATAGTTATCATTGTATATTGTTATTTTATAGGTATGCTGAGCTGCAGACATTCACAGAACTGAACTTCCATCCAATAGAAGATGGACATTGTGACATCATTATTGAAAAGCCGACTGTTTTTATGAAACTTGATGCTGGTAAGTAAGAAACATTTAACTGACTTCAAAATCTTTACTTTTATCACAGAACCTCAAAAACAATACAATGGTATTTTTGTGCATCTGYTCACAAATATTTTAGTTTGAAGATAAATTAGTTTCAAACATACTCACAAAAGCTTGCAAATACAATAGAATTTACAAATACCTAAACTTTTTTTTTTTCAAATGTGCACACTTCAAACTGCACAAGTTGGAATATGCTTCACATACAAAGTGTCAAAGAGCAGCCATGCCCTCTTGTGACAGCTCTCTCTCTTTAGTGAGTAGGGCATCCATCCTCTGAAGTTAGTTTGAACTAAACATGAATAAAAATAAGAGCAACAACATTTGTTGCAGGTGGGATTAAACAGGTTAGTGCTGTTTACTATCTTAGATAATACAGAACAGAGGTTATTTGTGTTTGATAGTTTTATACAGATGATCAGCCCTGAATGCAGTGTTTTTATTGTCGTTTGTCAGAAGTCACATGATCTGTGTGTCTGATCTGTCTGCAGCTTGTAATTTGTGCATTTGATCATTTGTAAGTGCATTTTTAAAATTATTTAGGTAGCTGTCACCCTTGTAATGTGCATTTGTGAATCGTGTCACATGCATTTGTCAGTCTTTTGAGATTAATTTATTTTCATAATTCTGCATTTATTTAATGTTTACAGTGTGTAATAGTGATCAATCCAAACAATCACCTTACCAAACCATGTTTGAATTTTGCATTTTCAAGTTCAGACATCATGACGGTACAAATAACAATTGTTTTTTTTTTTTCTTGCAGGGGTGAACATGTACCACCATTTTTGTGACTTTGTCAATCTCTATATCTCCCAGCACATTAACAATTCCTTCAACACAGACATCAACATTGTCATGTGGGATACGGTGGGTACCAGTCTTTCTGTGGTGTCAACAGATGTTTTTTTATTAGTTCACTGTATTCACTATGGTGATTTCACACTGTTCATTAAACATTCAGCAAATGCAGTTTGTCATCACAAATGAAAACAACACTACAACTTTAAGTGCAGTATACCACACTGAGAAAACTTTTATAATTCCTCTTTCATGTTTTTGTTTGCCTATCAATAACAAACTAAACTTTTTAAAAATGCAGATGGAGATTTTTCATTTAAAAGATTAAACATGAAGAAAGAAAACAGTTTAAGTAAAAACATTTCTGATTATATGAATACATTTGTTCTTATTTGTTTGTTGTGATTTTGTTCGTTTGCATATTTATGCCCAGAGTTTTTATGGTTATGGGGACCTGTTCAGTGAAACATGGAGAGCCTTCACAGAGTTCGACATCATCCACTTGAAGACTTATGACTCTAAAAGAGTGGGTAAAACCTCATTACTGTTGAGTAGTTTTATTTCTCTACAAGGTACCCTTATTGTTCTTTTAAAATTTCCTTTGATACTCTAGAGGTGTAAGACTAATTGGCAGCATGATGGCTCAGTGTTTAGAACCAATGTCTCACAGCAAGAAGGTCCTGGGTTCAATCCCCGGTTTTGACCTGGGGTCTTTCTGTGTTTCATGTTCTCTTTGTGCTTGCACAGGTTTTCACCGAGTACTCCGGTTTCCCATACAACACAAAAATATTTCCAATAGGTTGCCTTCAGGCTCAGGCTGCCCTTGCAAAAGAGATCAGTGATCTCACTGGAATTTGCCTGTTTAAATACAGTAAATTGAATAAATAAGGAATACATATAAGTCATGATTTGGTACAAACAGCAACAGGCCACTGGACAATAAGTTAACTGTAACGCTAATATTCAGAATACAGAATTTTTTTATCCATCTCCCCAACTACGTGCTGCATCAGGTGGTCTTTGACAGAAACTTTGTTGACTGCCTCATTGTTTTGTTAATATTGTTTAGATTTCGAAAGGCAAAAAGAACACAAAATGGTTAATAAAAGGATAACCAACTCACCCTGGTGGTGGAGAAAATAGGATTTCAATTTTTGGATCTGTTGGGCATTTTTCCCCCTATTTTAATAAAAATATTGTACTTGTATGTGATTAGAAAGCCTGAGCTTTAAAAAAAATCAAAATAAAGCAAATATAGGATTAAGACACAATGAAAGGAGCAGACATCCCTAGTTTTTCCTGAGAGTAAAACTACAGCAATACACTGGTTTATACAGTATGTACAGTATACTATTGAGCTTTTCAAAAAGTTTAAAAATTAATAGAACAGCTGAAGATATTTTGCTTTCCATGGGATGCACAAATTCAGCTACAGAAGTCCAGCAGCTTTGATTTTAAAACTTTTTTTGTTTGTTCAGGTACTGGATTACACCAACATGTCATCCAGAGTTTTTCAGTCCTCCTGAAAATAATATTTCATTTAGTTATATATACTTGCACACTGTTTTTATGTACAAAATTAACAAATGGAAATATCCTGTTGTAAATGTATTCCTCATTGATTTATTCTCATTTCTCAATAGGTTTGTTTCAAAGATTGCTTTTTCTCCCTTCTTCCAAGAATGAGATATGGACTTTTTTACAACACACCTCTGGTAATTGTTACGTCACAAAAATATATATACTGTACACATATA